CCCCCAGCCCATATTATAGAGTAGATGCAGCACAAACTTCCCATTAATTACAGCAGGAGAGGGGTGTGGGGTAGAATTAGGGAAGAAAACAGGAGTTACACAGGTGGGAGACAGAGGTTGAAGGGTGTGGGTTCGACACCCAGGTTCCCAGAGCTGACAGATGTGCGGGAGAGCGGAGATGGGCAACCAGGGGAGGGTTGTAGCCCGGTTCGGACGGGCCCTACCTTGGGGTAGGTATGCAAGGGGAAGGTCAACTGACAGGCCCGGTGACAAGACGCCGTATCACCCAAGATCGAGTCAAACGCTTCAGCCGAAGCGGTCCCCGAGCCTCCGGCCAGGGCCATGGTCAGCAGCAGCAGCGGCGGGAGCCCCAGTTGGGCCCTGACCCAGAGGCTCCCCTTCGACGCCGCCATTTTGTTTCCCTCTGTCACAGCAGCTCAGCTTGTTGCTGTTTTCTTTTCAGGTTTTCCTCCGCCTTCCGGGGCCAGCCCCTTCCCCGCCCCTCAGGCCGCCGCTTCCGCCTCCGCCGTCTCCTCAGCTCCGCCCTGAGCCCACCCCGCGCCCCGAAACTGCCGCCTTCCGCCCCACCTCCAAATCTACGATCTTCTCTTAGGTTGGCAAGAAGAGATGGATCCAACCATCGCGAGTATTAGAACGAACCGGCATTCCCTGACTCCTTCCCTCCGCGGGGTACGCTGGGGGATGTAGTTCTCCGCTGGCTAGCAGTGCACGGTGGGGTCGGGAAAGTTGATCTTGGAGAACTACAATCGCCTTGGGCGGGCCTCACCGGCTCCTTTGCAGTGCATTCTGGGGAATGTGGTTTGCGGAGACGCTTCGTTGGGTGGCGGAGCCAGTTCCGAGAAACCACGGTCTGGGAAGGAAGCGTCGGTTTAATTCTCACCCCCACGGCCCAGGCTTGGGTCCTCAGCGGGTGCGCTCTGGAAGGGCCCAGCTGCTGGCAGGACTGCTTTTCCTGGTGGGTTTCACGTCAGACCGTTGTTGGGTTCCCCTTGCTGGGCCCCTGGGTGCTGAGGGTAGAGGAAGATGGTGTTTCCCTTTGCCGGGGGATCCACAGCACGACAGCCCTGGTTAGGGTCTTTTGACCACCGAGCAGTCCCTGGAGATGGTTGCTTGTTGTGAGGACCCTGCTGAGATCTGGAGGTGGTTGTTAGTTGCTGGTTACTAGGGGGATCTTTGGAATTGTGATTATGGTGAGATAGTTGTTAATAGAGCTTCACGGAACTCGGTGGAACTTTTAATCCTGCCTCAACCTCACCTAAGTTGGAAGAGGCTTTGGAAGTCACCAGATTCAACGCCTGGCCCAATATTGGAATCCCTTGCACAGCGTGCACTTCTGAAGCTAGGCACCTCCTAACTCAGGAATTAGACTGATCATTATATACAATTTCAGTTCATAGCAAGATATTTCTTTTCCAACACGAAATTTTCTTTCCTGTAAATTCCACCCCAGTCCTCCTAATTGAGGAAGGCTTCCAGAGTATATAAAAGGCCATTGTGTTACTTTAGGAGCACACATCACAGCAGTTTTGATGACGTTTTAGAATCTTCCCTCTTTCTTGAGCAGAACACGCTGCAAGCACGTGAAGGTAGTTGGGAGTCCACTAGCCATGGATAAATTCGTCATTCGAACGCCTAGAATCCAGAATAGCCCTCAGAAGAAAGATCCTGGTGCAAAGATTTATAAGCAGGCCACGATTGAATCTCTTAAGGTGAGAGGGGATATGGGACCAGAGAAAATGTGGAAAGGACTGTGATAGCAAGGTGGTGCAGGAGGAGTTCTGTGGAAGACCTGTGAATTCTTTCTTGCTGTTTTCTCCCCAAAGGGTTCCTGATCACTCCTAATTTATTTTCTTCATACCCTATACAGACTTCTATTTATCCAGGCCTGCATGCATTTCTGTTACTTTTCTGATTATTTTGGCTTTATGGTGTGTTTTGCTGTCTGGTAGGACAAGCCCCCTAGGTTATTATTATTATTTTTTTTTTGCAAGATTTTCTGGTTTATTAGGAATGTTAAAGTACCAAATATGATTCTGTGTACTCTGTACAAACTCAATAAGGCTGGGTGATGATACTATACTCTCCTGTCTTACTGGCTGGAACTGTATCACATGGTCTTAACAGCTACAGCTGAGACTGGGAAACAGACTATTTTTTTTTTTTTAATTTTTTTTTTCAACATTTATTTATTTTTGGGACAGAGAGAGACAGAGCATGAACGGGGGAGGGGCAGAGAGAGAGGGAGACACAGAATCGGAAACAGGCTCCAGGCTCTGAGCCATCAGCCCAGAGCCCGACGCGGGGCTCGAACTCACGGACCGCGAGATCGTGACCTGGCTGAAGTCGGACGCTTAACCGACTGCGCCACCCAGGCGCCCCGGAAACAGACTATTTTGATAAGACTATTTGCAACTTTGACATGTCTGATTTCTGTTGGCAAAGAAGAGGCAAGGGAATAGATACAGGATAGACAACAATGCATCAATGGACATAGGTACCCAATTAATGATCAAGTAAGAATTGTTTCACTACAAACAAACAAACGGTTGTAATTAGTTCCCTTTGCCTTCTTGAACTTCTACATTTCTGGCCTTTTCTTTTTAGTTTCCTTAATGGGCTCCTCCTCTTCCACCAGACTCCTAATATTTGTGCTCCCCAGGGCTTGTCACATTTTATGTATTTGGCCAGGGTAGCCTTATTTGTCTTACGGCTTCCCACGGTGATGACTGCCAAATGTGTAGCTCCAGCCTAGGTCTCTGAAGGTGAGAGTGGGATCTGTGGCTAGAGAAAATATGCACAGGGCTATGATAGCAAGGCAGCATTCTGAGTACTTAAGTTTCATACTTAGTTGGACTCCTCTTCTAGACGTGCTACGGATTTACCAGACCCTGATTAGAAAGCAGTGCAGGGGAGTATAAACAGAAGCCTTGGTTCTCGGCCCTGTTGTGCAGCTGGGTGATCTTTAGCAAGTCATTTCTTACCTGGGATCTCAATTTGTCCTCATCTGTAAAATGTGGGGGTCAAACCATATCAGCATTTCTTCAAAGGAACATTGTTGTCATTTGGGGCAAGGTTAATTCTTCATGATTTGGAACTGTCCTGTGAATTATAGGACATTTAACATCCTTGGCTTTCAGACACTAAATGCCAACAGCACCTCCCATTGTGATAAGCAAAAATGCCCTCGTGTTTCCAGGCAGCCCTTGGTTTAGACCTACTGAATTCTAGATGATCTTTAAAAGTCTCTCCTGGTCTTGGATTTCTGTGCATAATCAGATTTTTCAACTGTCTGTGTTTTATCAGAGTGTTCATGGATACTTGTATACAATAGTGATTCTCAATGACGTGGTGGGCAGGATTGTGGTATCAGACTGGAAGAAAAAGAGGAGGGTAGTAATCGAACTACTCATACACTCACATACAAACACCCAGATTCTAATATACCTCCACCTGCCCCTTCTCCTCTCTGTGTCCCCACTTGGGCCTCAGTTGAGAGTCCCTGTGTGTGAAGATGAGAATATGTCATGTGACGATGGAATCAGAATAAATAATAAGTGTGTATGGGGAATAACTTTCCCCTTCAATGCAGTAGCTTTTCTCTCAAACCTGTTCTTTATTCTCTTGTTTTTACTTTTAATAACATATGCCAAGAAACTGGGACTAGAAACGTGGAAGCCATCCTTAACTCTTTCCTCTCTTGTATCTAATTTCCAATTCTGCCTCCTAAAAGTCCTTCTCGTCTCTACATCTCCAACTTTAAATTTAAAAATCCCTCATCTAGAGCGGTGCCATGGTCTGTTAACTCGTCTCCCTGCCTTTGGCATTCTCTTTCATTCTCCCCTTCACACTGAAGCCAGAGAAATCAGTCTTAAAAAAAAAGAGAATCTGTCAGGTGACTTCCCTGCCTATCCCTTCAGCTGTTTCTCATTACCTGTCAATGAAGACATTTCTTTACTTGGCACCCAAGGCCCTCTGTGACCTGGCATCCACCTGCTTCATCCCCTGCTGCTCTCCTTGTTTACATTCTATCCGGTGCCAACCACTCAATTTTCCAAAGATGGTGTGCTGTTTCTTACCTCTGTACCTTTGCATATGCTGTCCTGTTTGGCTGGAATGGCCTTACGTTCTTGTCTTGGAGGCAATATAGTATGGTAATTAAGAACACAGACTCTGGGGGCACCTGGGTGGCTCAGTTGGTTAAGCAGTTGAGTTTCTGACTCTTGATTTTGGCTCAGTCGTGATCTCTAGGTTTGTGGGATCGAGCCCTGCATCAGGCTCTGCGCTGATGTCATGGAACCTGCTTGGGATTCTGTCTCCCTCTCTCTCTCTCACCCTGCCCCACTCATGCACACACTCTCTCTCACAAAATAAACATTTAGAAAAAAAAAAAAAAAAAAAAAAAAAAAAGAACACAGACTCTGGAAGCAAACTGCCTAAGTTTAAATCCCAGCCATGCCACTTACTGTTTGCATGACCTTGGGCGAGTCATTTAATCTCTCTGTGTCTTTCTTCATAAAGTGGGATTAATGAACTATCTATATTATAAGGTAGTTTTGAAGTTTGAGTGAGCCAATATATGTAAAGTGCTTGGAACCGAGACCAGCACATAATAAGTACTTGTGCAAGTGTTTGCTGTCATCATCAATTTATGACCTCCAGTTTATTCACTATGACCTAGTTCAAGAGTCTCCTCTACTATGAGGCCTTTCCTGACCACCCTTCTGTCTCCCAGACAGAAAGCCAATCTAATCACTCCGTTCTCTAAGCCATCCCTGTATCTTAAACATGACCCTGTCACTGCACTCCTTTGTGCTATATTGTGTCTTTTTTAATGCTGTATCCTACTGTACTCTGAGCTTCTTCAAAGACTGTCTGACTGAGTTTTGTGTCCCTGGTACCTGGCACAGGGCTTGGTACATAGAAGATCACTGTGTATTTTTCTGAATGATCAAATGAACTAAAACACTAAAAGCCTTGGCATTGTGTATGAGACCCTGTTCTGCCCCAGTGAGCCTTCTCATCTCATCCCTTATGGCTCCCCATTCCCAGGAATGCATTCCAGCCACACCCCGTTCTTTGCTGTTCTCTGTATAAACTAGTTTCTTTCATGTCTCCAGTGATTTGACTTGATGCTGGTCCCTTTTCCTGGCAAACTTTTTTCTTTCTTTCTTTCTTTCTTTCTTTCTTTCTTTCTTTCTTTCTTTCTTCTTTTTTTTTTTTATGGAGACAATGCTTCTCATTGGTGAACCCACTCAAGTGCGACTTTCCTTGTGAATCCTAGATTATAAGTTTCATGAGTACAGGGACCTTGGGTATTTTATTTACCTCCTGTCACAGTGCTTGGCATATATTAAATGGTTAAATAAGTGAATGTTGAAGTGCTTTCTGAGTCCTTTGGAGGGAATTAGTCCTTCCCTCTTCAATACTGTCTCAGCACTTTCTTCAAATATCCTCATAGCACGTACCTTACTGTATTGTGATGATCAGATTACCTGTACTTTTCCCCAGTCTACTATGAATTCCTGAGCACTGAGACCACAGTGTCTTATTATGTTCTGATTCTGCTCCAAGACCTAACACAGTGCCTGCATGTAAAAATTTATTGACTAAATAATAATCATTCTTATTTGGGGATGCCCTTGCAGGGTCTGTATAGTAAACTATTTAACAAATATTATTACAAAACAACTTCATGCCCAGCACCATGCTAGATACTCCAGGGAACATAAAAGAAATTAAAAATTTTTTTCTAAATGTTTATTTATTTTTAAGAGAGAGAGAGAGAGAGAGAGAGCACAAGCAGGGGGGAGGGGAAGAGAGAGAGAGAGGGAGACACAGGATCTGGAGCAGGCTCCCAGCTGTCATCACAGAGCCTGATGCAGGGCTCGAACTCACAAATCGTGAGATCATGACCTGAGCTGAAGTGGGATGCTTAACCGACTGAGCCACCCAGGTGCTCCCGTAAAAGAAATTTAAGATGAAAGTATGAACCCTCATGGGACTTCCTATTGGAGGATCATATTATAAGAAATTAATAAGTAATGATAGAAAATCATATGTGATCCATTACAAAACTGTTGTTTAGACAGTAAAGGTTAAGAGATAAGAGGAGAGAGCTCAGTGTCTGTTTTAGTGCTCAGAGCACCTTAAAGATTTGAAAAGATTTGGCAAGGTAGAGGGAAGTAGTGACGTATAACCACTTAATAGTAAGTAGTACTTGCTGCTCTCTTCCCTTTGTCCGCGCACACATGCTTAGTTTATGTATACACAATGACAAATTAAACACAAGTTGAGTTAAATTTGCATTTTAAAGAGATCTACTCTGCCAAGTAACTTATTCCCACATACCAGTGTCACATTTAAATGCCAAGAATCTGCTGAATGTTCAAGCCTCAGTTTCCTCATCAGTAACATTAGAAATAACTATAACCTGCAGGGTTGTTATGAGAGCTAAATAGATAAATACATATTGAAAGGGCTAAGCATTGTGCATGTCATATAGTAAAACTGATCAGTAATGTTCTCTTTTCATGTGTGGAAAAGGAGGGGCTTGTGTGGTAACACTAGAGCTGGGAACAGTGATGATGATAGCGATGGTCATGATTACCGCTAACATTGAGCCCGTTTCTCTGGGCCAGGAATTGTGCAGAGTGCTTTACATATATTAACTCTTTAACCTCTGATAACAGCTCTGTGAAATGGATGCTTTTGTCATTTATATTTTACAGATGAATCTAAGCCACAGAGAGATTAAGTAGCTTGCTCAAGGTCATGCAGCTCTAAGTGGCAGAGCTGGGATTTGACCTAGACAGTCTGGTTCCACTGTCTGCCCCCTACAGGGTGAACTAAGAAAGTGGAGGTTTCTGAATGTCCAGCAGAAGAGGTATAAAAATCTTGGATATTGGGACCATTGTACTTCTGTTATCGGTATATTACAAGTAATTTTGCCGTAGCCTTATCACATTCAGTAGAAGTGATACCCAATAGAGCGTGTGTAATATACATTTGAATGGTAGAGGTTAATTTGGTTAATCTCTTCTTACTTCCTGAAGGGAAAGTGATTTCCTCTATTGGTTGCAATAGGAGATTTTTTTTAATTATTATTAAAAGATTCAAGAATATGTGAATTCTTTTAGGTTCAGCACTTTAGAATGTTCTGTAAACCTTTCCTCCTTCTGTAGGATGGAGCAGCCATCCTCTGCTCCCTCTGCCCCCTCTGGTGGGATGGTTTCCATGTTATTGCTTATGAGTGAATCATTTTCCCTAATTGGTTTTGTCAAACCTGATGTTTCAGCCATCCACAGCTATAAGACCAGATGGTATAGGAGAGAGCACGTCTTTCTGGTGATAACCTTTCCACTGCTCATTGTAGCTTCCCCTTTGATACTTTGTGTCCACTTCCCTTGTTCCTCTAAATAATTCAGATAATAACTTGAAATATCTCTTTTGAGACCCATATTTGGACAGAAATAAGGAACATTCTTGGATATATGTGGAATTCTGTTCTGGAATTGACTGCAGATTTTTCTATTTCTGAGCTAAAATTTCGGATCTGAAAACTATACTGGATTTAGTCCTCGAGGGTAGAGATGACTTGTTCAATAATACCTAGTGTGGCAGGGAATAGAGAGACAAATAAATTGTCCCAACCCTCAAATTGCTTAGTCAGTGGTGAAGACAGCCTTATAAATAAGTATGTGCATAAAATGCAGATACAGTGGTAGGAATGTGTCCAGATTACAAAGGACTTAAAAGGGAGTGTGGTCAAATTTGGTAGGAGAGAGTCAGGAAAGGCCTCATAGAAGACGGGATGCTCGAAAGGAGTCTTAAAATATAAGTAGGTGTTTATCATATGGTTGAGGCAAAAAAAAGAGCATCCCAGGCAGAGGGTGTGAAACACTGCAATTCATTTAGGCAGCTTCAGATAGTTTGCTATGTAGCTGGAGCAAATTATGAAGCTGCAAAGGATGTCAGGAGCCAAGTCATGTAAGGCCTTTTATGCCATGCTAGGGTTTGGGCTTCTGTAGTTCCATATACTAGAATGATCTCATGTGGAATCCCTAACCTCATTCTAACCATGTAGAAATGCTAGATAAAAAGTCTCTAATACAGAGCTGAGCTTGAAAGCAAGAACGAGAAATCTTCAGATGCCAGAAAGAGAGAGGAAATTCAAACCCTAAGCTTTAAGTGGGGGCTGAAGCTGAACAGTTTTATGAAACTAGATACAATGTTTGGGGTGTGAAGTTTTAGGGCCAGTGTGGGGCCTAAGGCCTCAGGCTAATAATTCCCACTTCAAGCTGGGAGCCAAAACAGGTCTACCATGTTTGTGAAAAATGAACTAGAAAAATTCCATCCACTAGTCCAAGGCAATAGCATGAAAATGATGATCTTCTCAGGGGTTTTGGATGGAAAAAGAATTGACTATAATAAATTAGAACCCCATACTTACTACTATGCGTGGTTTTAAATTTACACTCTTAGCAAAGCAGGAAAAAAGTGAACATGACTGGCATAGATCAGAGAAATCCAGAGGCTTTGGCCAAGGCAAATGTGAGATTTCCTGTTAAAACACCTCACACCCTAGGACACCAGATCCCCATGGAAATAGTCTCCATTGAAGATGAACTCATGGTCAAAATTACCCAGAGGGAGAAGGAGCAGATAGAGATAAATAATAGCATTTCTACCCCAAGAAGTGGCAATAAGAGCACAACCTGAAAGAGATCTTAAATATGTGAATTTTATAAAGAAAAGATGAGATACTGTAAGAAAAAAACAAAAGACTATGAAAAGAAATTGGGCAGATTTTGAGGAAAATATTAAGTTGTCCGATGAAAAGATTATTCCTTGATGGAGACATGGAACAGGTTAAAAGTAGACAAGCCATAGCTACAGAGAGAAATAGTGGATTCGAAGCTTGAGGCGAGGAAATCACTTAGAATTCATTCCAGAGAAATAGAGAAAAATATGAAAGAACAGTTAAGGTACACGAAAAGATAGACAAGTCATTTATATTTCTAGTAGGGATTTCTGAAGCCGAAGCTTGTGAGGAGGATACTGATACAGATTTCATAGAGCATATGTCTTAAAAAGTATAATAACGAACACTATAATGATAGAAATAGAATGTATAATTTGCCAACCGTAAAGAAAAGATCAAAGAAAACTCAAGCTGTTACCATTAAAGATAAGAAAGGAAAAGTAAAAGAAGCAAAGAGGAAGTATATCCAGTTATATCAGTAATCATAATAAATGCGAGTGGCTTAACCATGCCTGTTAAAAGATAGAGATTCTCAGATTGGATGGGGAATGCGGGCAAAATAAAGCAACCATAGGCTATTTAAAGCATAATGACCCAGAAAGGTTAAAAGGCAAGCGATGGAAGACGATATTGAATATGTCACAGGCAGGAGTTCATCCTAGCAGTGTTTACAACAGGAAGAATGTTGGGTGGGGTGACCCTAAATATCCATTAGGGGAATAGATTTTAAAATTCTAAGACATTTGTGTGTAAAAATAATGGAATACTATCCATTACTATTAAGTGGATCAACTGGGTTTACGTATATGAGTATGAGTGAATGGAGAAAATATATTGAGTGAAAAAAAGCCTTTTGCAGAATGATACGATATTTATACTTTACATCTTCTTCCTATTGAAAATATCCCCTTAACTGGCTTCATTTCTTTATTTTGCATACCATATACCACTGGCAGTATTGTTTTGTATTGTAGCAGATCATAACAAAGAACTTGTCTCCCTTCTGGCTAAAGCACCCCAAGGCTGAGAACAAAGCAAAGTGTTCCCAGATGAGATTCTAGACTATGCAGAAATTGTGAAGGCGGTACATGAAGACCAGTTTCGGAATCCCGAACCCATCACCTACTCTAGGCCATAAAGAAGGTTGAAATTAAAAGAAGAGAGGAGAGAGAGTTCCCTTGGATATAGTGGGAGGGCTGTGGTATTTTCACTTGGAGAACTTGACCTCTGTACCTGGATCTGGTGGACACAGAGACCAGATATGTGCCTGGGAAAGACTAAAAACAGAGAGTGGCTGAATGGGAAGGCTGTTAACCCTTAGAATTCTTCAGGGCAAAGATGAGGATATAGCAGAAAAAATGCGAGCTGGCCTGGAGTTGATTTAAAGGGGTTAAGTTCACAAGGATCATTGGAAGGTCAGTGGGACCCCCACAGAGAGTGTGTGTAAAGTGGTTTGCCGAAAACTGGGAGCTTGCGGGGAGTTGGAAGTGGCTGGCTAGAAGAGGCATTGCCAACACTACAGGGATGGCAAGTGAGGTCTCCACAATGGGGGCTCTCCGAGGAACCACAGAAACACCTCAAAAGAAAAAAGAGTCTGCTTTCCGAATCTGCCAAGTCTAGAGAGCACACTAAAACCGGACTAGTGTAGTATCACAAAAGAGGAGAAGGCTTTTCGTGTCCCTTACCTCTCCTCCTTTTCCCAGCTTCAAACCTGGAGGGGTCAGAGGCCAAAGCAAACAAGCAGATGGGGGAAGGGGAAGCAAAATGGGGAGAGGAGTCAGACCTCTCCCACCATGGGCTGCTAGGTTGGAAGCAGACCCCAGCCAGGGAAGGAAATTGAGATTTTGTTGTTGTTGCTTTTTATTGAACTCTAACCTGTATATAGAAAAGTGAACAAATCATGAATGTGCATCTTGACAGATTTTCACAAAGTGAACACACCTGTGTCACCAGTGTCCAGATCAAGAAACAGAACATTACCAGAATCCCAGAAGCCCTCTGTGCCCCCTTCCTTTCCCTAATTGGGCCTACCTCCCCGGGGAAATAACCATCCAAGACAGTATTTTTTTCTAATTATGAAAGCAACTTTATTATTTTGTCTTTCAGTTTAATTTTTTTAATTCTTAGCTGAAATAACTTCAGAACTACAAAAAAGTTGCAACAGAGTACAAGGAACTTCCTCATCCCCTTCACCCAGATTCCTTAAGTGTTCATATTTTACACCAAATGGAGAGATGCATATCAACTTGAAGGTGGTGATTTCTCTTAGAAACAGGAGAGAAATGAGTTTAGTGAAGGGTGTAAGGAGACAAACTTTAGAATGTTTTGTTATTTTATGGGAAATGGCAAAATGTTAACTTTTTTTCAGTTATAAATAGTTACTCTGTACCTTATTATGTGTTTCAGGGTTTTAAAAACTTTTCAAACCAGAGATTTTGACTTTTATCATCTAGGAAGTGGGGAGCTGTTGAAGTATGCTTTTTATTGTTGAAATAAATATGCCTTTATGGCTTCTTTGCTTTCTGTCCTTGCCTGTGATTGAAGACACTTAAGTGAGCTATAAGGTTGATTCACCTTAGTATCATTTTTCTTTTCTTCTCATCCTTATTGCCTCTCTCTGCTAAGTGCCCAGCAGTGTCTGACATGGTTAGATTAAAACTTGCACTTTTCCTAATAGATGTAACTCTCTTCCTGATTTGCAGTAAGCGGGACCTGCTTTTAAGCAATTACCCATCATTTGGGGCCATCATGTACCGTGCTTTGGTTCAGGTCATAATCAATAATTCATATGTCAATAGGAGCCCCATTAACTCAGGTGAAGGGAGATGTTTTTCTAATGAAAATGTTCCATTTCCAAATGACTTTTCTTTTTCCCAGAGAGTTGTGGTTATAGAAGACATAAAAAGGTGGAAAACTACGTTGGAGCTTCCTGGTCAGACCAGAGAGAATCTAGTTGAAGCTTTACGAGAATTAAAGAAGAAAATACCCTCCAGGGAAGTGTTAAAATCAACAAGGATAGGTATGTTCTTCTGAATTTTATGAAAAGTGCTTATATTTTGTCTCTTCTTCCTCTCCTCCCTGCCTCAAACATTAAGTTATCTATCATATCAGTGCCTCTCAGACTGTCCGTGGTGAAGGACCATTGTTTAAAAAATTCTCCATTGGTTGCAGACCAATACTTCTATAACACATAATAAAAATTTCCAGAAAAATAAAATTAAAATATACAAAATACAAGCCCCACTTCTTCTTCTTCTTCCTTTTTTTTTTTTTTTAGATTCAACGGATACAGAATTACTCTGTCAAATTGCTATTAAAGTTTCTTAATACATACTTCAGTTTCTGTACTTACCTCATAGGCTGGTAACCAGCAGTGATCTAGGGATAACATTTTGAGCGCGTTTGATGCAAGGTGTGTAGAAATGAATGAGACATGGTTCGTCACCTCAAGGAACTTGAGGTTTGGTAGGAGAAACAAGCGCAGTGAGGAGCAGAAAATATTATAGGTTATAAATAAAAACATATGAAGAGTATCCTGGATATCATTGTACTCTGTACAAGGTACCTGCTGGCACAAAGGACAGAGCAGTCACCTACATCTGGGGAATTCAGAAAAGATTTCATAGAAGAGATGACATTTCCGCTAAATCTTGACAGTTAAATCTTAGCTTTTCTGTCTTGAGCAGAAATAACTTGCAGAGTGTGGTTTGTAAAAACAAAATGATGGCAACATTTGCTGCTACATCCTTTATTACAGCATTGAGATGTTTAAAAGGTAAGTCAGGGACTACGTTGAATTGCCATTTTAGTACAGTACACAACTGTGAATAATATGTAAGGGAGGGCCAACATGTGTTCCTCAAGCTGCTCCCAGCTCCCTAGGGAGTCCAGGGTAGTCATTCACAGCTGCTGTTCTTGCCCTCGCCAGTGCAACCAATGCCTTCTCTGCCTCCCCTTGACCTCTTGTTCATGGGAAGCAAAAGAGAGAGCAGCTTCAGACTGGCGCTAACAGCTGGCAAGAGCTGTGTGGAATCCCCCAGAGGGCCCCCCAAGAGTCTCGAGAGTTGCACCCCTGTAATATAAACCAGAATCTGAGAAAATTAGATGCTTAAAGAACATAAAACCCCATCATTACAGCCAAGGAGATTCTCCCATCTGCTGCTGGATTTTCTCTTTATAAGTCGTGGTCACTAGAGGGCAATAAGACCATTCATATGAGCCAATAAGGTATTTCCACCAGTAGAGGGTACTAGTGATTAATATTTTGTGACATGTATATATGTACATATGTGTATGTGTATGTTCATATTTAGGCACACGCCACAAATGCCATTTCTGCTCAGATCATAAATATCAACGGAATAGGCTGGAATTGTCCCCCACACACAGAACAGATGATCATTTAAAAATACATATTTCTGTTTATGGGGTGCCTGGCTGGATCAGTCAGTAGAGCAGGTGACTCTTGATCTTAGGGTTGTGAGTTCAAGCCCCACATTGGGCACAGAGATCATTTAAAAAAAAATTATTTGTCCTTTGAGTACAATTGCGAGTGTGCTTTTAAGAATGGATGTGTCTGATGTTCATAGATTTCAATTCAAGGATCATAATGAAACCATAACAAGGAGGCTTAACTTAGGAGGAGCTGGAAATTATCCAACTTTTGATTCCTGACCTTACCCTAAGCCCTCCCTAAACCTGAGGTTGTATGGAATATAGGGGTATCTTGGTTCCTTTGTAGTTACTTCAGTTGCTAGGCTGAAGATTCATTTGGATCATTGCCTGAAAATGTTTCCATTCTTCTACCTTTAGCCTCCTGCCTGTCCATATCCTGTGGGCTAAAAGGGACAAATATTTACTGACTACTTTGTGCTAGGAACTGCGCTGGCATAATAATAAAGGAGACAGATATTGTCCTCTCCTTTTTGGATCCTGCAGTCTAATGGAAGGACAGACAGTTTAATAAGAGTTTATCATACAGTGTGATGAGTGCTCTGATGATGGGTAGAAGCTAGCCAAAGGAGTATATGCATTGGGAGTAGAGAAGAAGGTGTTGAAGAATGTGTTAGATAGTGGGTAACGTGCACTTTACAGAGGACTGGAGGGGGGAGAGAACATGATGCATTCCAGAAACTAAAAGTTTGGTGTGTGTGAAATGTAATAAACGGGAAAGTGTGGCAAGAAATGAAACTGGAGAGGGAGTCTGGACCAGATGGAAGAGGCTCTTTGTAAACCTGTTCGGTCTTAGTGTGTGTATTAGTTGTCTATCCCTGTGTAAAAATCACCCCCAAATTTAGCAGCTTAAGCTTTTGTTATCTCACATAGTTTTTCTGAGGGTCAGGAATCTGGAAGCTGCTTATTTGGGTGGTTCTGGCTCACGGTCTCTTAAGAGGTTGCAGTCAAGCTGTTGGCTGGGGCTGCAGTCATATGAAAGTTTCACCAGGGCTTGAGGATCTCACGATGGCTCATTCACTGAACTGCTGGCAGGAGGCCTCAGTTCCTCATCACATGGGCCTCTTCTTATGGCTGCTTATGACACGGCAGCTGACTTACCCAGAACAAGAGACCCAAGAGAGAACAACCAAGATGGATGCCACAGCGTGTTTCATTACCTAATCTTGGAAGTGACAAGGTATCGATCGCTTCTGTCACCGAGACCAACCCAGGTAAAATTTGGGAGGCAACTGCATACAGGTTATGAACACCAAGAGGTAAGGATCTTTGGAGGCTATTAGTAGATTGGCTACCACAATATGTATTTCTTTCTTTTTTTTTTTATGTTTGTTTATTTTTGAGAGAGAGAAAGTGCAAGCAGGGGAGGGGCAGAGAGAAATGGGGACAGAGTATCTAAAGTGGGCTCTGTTAACAACAGAGAGCCCAATGTGGGGCTCAGACTCATGAACCATGAGATGACCTGAGCTGAAGTTGGATGCTCAACCAACTGAGCCACCCAGACGCCCCCAAAGTGCTTCTCTTTCATTATTCCTTCATTTTTGGATTCTACAATTAGAAGTATGTTTAGACCTTTTATTTTCCATACCCCTTAGCTTGTCTGTCATAACCCTATCTCCTTATCCCATAGAATTCCAGTAAATTTCTTCAGATATATATCTTCCAAGTCATTAATTCTCTCTTCAGCTCACTCTAATCAGCTGTTGAACCCATTCACTGAGTTTTTTGTTTCAAAAACTGTTTTACATTTTTATAAAATTTCCCCCCAATCTCTTTTAAATATTGTTTGTATATCCTTGTGATAGTGCCTTTGATTTCTTTAAATATTAATGTATGGTTCTTCTGTATACTTCATCTGACTATTCTAATATTTATAGTCCTTGGGGGTTTAAATCTTTGTTTCTTCTAAGTCCTATGGTGCTTGCCTTTCCATGTGCTCGTTGATGTTTAATTGTGAGCTCATTCTTTTCTTTTAATCCATGGAAATTTTAAGTTGGAGCTTATCTCTAGAGGGGATTTACTTTTTTTTTTTTCTTTCTGCCAGTAGTCAAGGACCACTTCTTACCTGGAATACTTTAGCACACCTTGCAAAGATCCCAGCCCAGTATCAGAGTCCAACTAACCGGTTAACTCTCCCACTTCACCATGGGCCCAAAGCTAAGTATTTTAGTAACATCGCTGTTAACATCACCCCTTAGGATAACCCTACTTCTTTAGCCTCTGTCTACTTTTTTTGAGGGAATGAAGTGACTTTTGTCCAGAATTTATCTAGTGTATTGCAGTGCAAGGGTAGCTTTAGTCCATCATAAAGCCTGAGTTCTTAAGGATAAACAGTGGTTGCATCGAAGTGTTTTGAATGGAGGAGTGACATATTCAGATTTGCGTTTTAGGGAAATCTGTCTACCAGAAGAGTGTTGGAGAAAAGCAAACCTAGAGGCAGGGAGGCCAGTTAAGATGCAATTGAAATGTCTGGGTGAGAAATGAGAGTGACCTGGATCGGATAGTCATTGTGGGTATGGAGAAGTGTGGTTGGAATCAAGAGATTAAAATCCGAAGGATGTAGACATTGATTGGATGTTGGGAATGAAGATAAAGGAATGAAGGTTGAGGCCCAGACTTCTCATATGGGTAAATTGGTGGATGGCAGTACCACTTATTACCATAGAGATGGGGGAAGTAACAAGTTCCATTTTAGACTTACTGTATTTGATATACTGTGGGGCATCCAAGAGGAAATGTCCAACAAGATGTTGGATGTACAAGGCTGAAGATAAGGAGAGACTGTAAATATACACTTGAGAGTCATCATCAGCATATAGCTAGAAACTGAGGCAACAAATAATAAGCTTGCCCGGGGAGAGTATATAAGAAAAGCTAAGAGCCAAGTCCAAAATCCTGAGGCACACCAGTATTTAAGAGACTTGTAGAAGGAAACTGAGAAGGTGTGACCAGGAAAACAGGAGGGAATGCTGTCATACAGTGGGAAGGAGTGGGCATTTGCTGGGGGGAGGGGGGCTGTCAGTATGTCCATTGTTGTCAAAGGGCCAAATAAGCTAAATCTAAAAATTGCATGTTAGATTTTGCAAAGTAAGGTCATTAACAGTTTTGATGAAGACAGCTTCAAAGGCAAGGTTAGGAGCAGAAACGGGAAGAGTAAGGAAAAAGTGAGGAAATGAAACCGGCCCTTTTAAAAAATTTTGTATTGAAAGAAAAGAGAGGCAGCAGTATCAGAAAAGAAATGTGGGATGGAAGAAAGTTCTGACTTTTGGAACAGGAGAGAAGCCAGCCTGCGGAGTGACAAGTTCATAGAGGGAACCTGGTCTGGGCGAACGGACTGGACTTAGCAGGGACTGACTGTGGAAGTGACAGGGAATGAGGATGCCCACATGCCTTTCGCTTTGTTGCCCTCTCCTCCAGCTCATCCTGTCTGCCCTCAGACACACTGAGATCTTCCCCTTTAACTGTCTGCTGCGTCTTCCAGGCACCTGTTTCTCTTTTATAGCCAAATTCCTTTAAAAATGATTGATACGCATTCACAACTCCCATTCCCGCCCCTCCCATTCCTTC